GTGTATATATATATATATAGATGTGTGTGTGTATATATATATATAAATAGATAGATGTATATTTATATATATATCGCATCCTTTTCAACATCGCAATTTCTTGTTTTCCTTCTCTGCGTTAAACGTTTTAGCCCTTTAGGATTTATTAAGCTTTCCGTAGAACAGTCAAAACACAAACTGTGACTGGCAAGCAAGGCATACTTGAAAACTCGAAGAAATCCCTTGGGAAAATTTGGCCATTCCAGTTAAGTAGGCGGAAAGTTCGCATTCTGTTCGCATCTATACTAGTAGATGGCGTTGCACTCGATTTAACTCAAATTATACCAAATTTGTGGGAGATAGATGCAAACATTAGTATTAACATCAAGAGACACCAACAATTACTCTTAAGTACCATTAAAGATTAAATCAAGAATATTAAAATTACTATACGATAAAACAGTTTATATACGAGTTCAAAGCCTACTCTATAGCAAGAGAAGCTTTTTCAATAATCTAAAATAGTTTTAGTTGACAAAAAATTAACACTATATAATTACTGAAACGCTACAATAATACACATCACAACTGAACACCAATGTACTGCAAAGCAACACATATTGACAGTTATCACAAAAAACTAGTCTAGGTGTAATTAAGTACATTGTAATAATGGCTAATTAAGTAGGCTACATTTGTATACACAATCCTGATGCGTTGTTCTTTTTAAAATACCACTTTAATAAACAGGTTTCCTCAGAGTCACTGTATCTTGGAACTTAATTTTATGTAATGTTATCACGCAAGTATACTCCATATCTTGCTTATAGCATCTTTAACTAGAATGGCCGATTTAAAAATACTGACTAGAAAACAAGGATACTGAAGAGGGGACCAAGATTTTAAAATCTAAATAATAATTTTTAACAGCGTGAAGGGAATTCACAAGGAAAGCAACAGAAGAATTTGAAGACAGGAACCTGGGGTCGCTTGACTTTACATCATTTCCCGCTTTTTTGATCAACACTGATTAAAGGGAAGCATTCTTACATGGTAGTTAAGACCCTTTTCAGCCATTCAAAACGTAAAAACCGCGAAACAAGGGGTCGCTTGACTTTACATCATTTCCCGCTTTTTTGATCAACACTGATTAAAGGGAAGCATTCTTACATGGTAGTTAAGACCCTTTTCAGCCATTCAAAACGTAAAAACCGCGAAACAAGGGGTCGCTTGACTTTACATCATTTCCCGCTTTTTTGATCAACACTGATTAAAGGGAAGCATTCTTACATGGTAGTTAAGACCCTTTTCAGCCATTCAAAACGTAAAAACCGCGAAACAAAACGCCCTTAAACAACGCCGGGTTGATTTCCATTAATTGATTTCATATATTATAGCACCATTTTGAAAAAAGGGCGTAAAGAGGAATGAAATATGTCATCGCCAACCATTTGTAACTATGTCTTCATTCCTTTTAACCAACATGATATAAGGTCAGTTAAATACTAAACTGAAAACAATGTAAAAAAAGAATGAAATATATCACTGTCAACCGTTTGTAACCTTATCCTCAATCCTTTTGATCAACATGATACAAGGTTAGTTAAATGCTAAACTGAAAACAATGTAAAAAAAGAATGAAATATAGCACTGTCAACCGTTTGTAACCTTATCCTCAATCCTTTTGATCAACATGATACAAGGTTAGTTAAATGCTAAACTGAAAACAATGTAAAAAAGACTGAAATATATCACTGTCAACCGTTTGTAACCTTATCCTCAATCCTTTTGATCAACATGATATAGGTTAGTTAAATGCTAAACGGAAAACAATGTAAAAAAGAATGAAATATATCACTGTCAACCGTTTGTAACCTTATCCTCAATCCCTTTGACAAACATGATACAGGTTAATATGGAGGAAAAAATGGGATAAAAATAAAAAAGGGATATTTTATGTTTTGTTAACTAGAGAAACAACTACATAAGATTAATATTAATATATTCATACATATACAACCTGCAGGTCATGAAATACTCATAATAACATCCAAAATATATCTGCTTGATATTCAACAATAATCTTATACTTCACGTATAGAGGAGGTTTATTTTTAAGAATTATGAAAATCTACGGAAGATTACGTCGCATATGTTCATAGATTAAGCGCTCTTAACGTAGAACCTTACTTGGGGCACATAAAAAATAAACGTACTTGTAGAGATATGAAATTTTGTTCTACTGTTATTATAACATTTAGAACTCCGAAAATATTACCTAAGACTTCGAAGAGGTTGAGAATATTTTTATTGATTTTTTTATATATTACTAAGTAACCTCTGTAGTGGTAACATTGAATAAGTAATTACAAAATAACGGTAAAATTCATACCAGATAAAATGTATTATTTTCGTTCTTTACTGTAACAAAGGTCATTCTATGATGGGCAAATATATGTATCTTCCTTCCTATGTCATTCAACACGTTGGCGTATGTCCGATTCTTTCTAAACTCTCAATCAGTTCCTTAATATATAAGAACAAAAACTTAGCGACAGAATTCGTGAATTTTACTATTTTCATAGAAGAGGTTGTTTCTTCCTGAGATGTAATGATAGATAAATAGAATTGTGTGGCCGTTGCACTTTTCGCAAAACGGTCAGTTTTCTCCGGGAGTGATTACTGCCCACAACGGCCAGAAGTATGTTATTGCATCATAAATCTTAAGATATCTAAAATATTTAAAATGGAATGATTTATAAAATCACAGGAATAAACCAAGATAAAACCACACCGAAGAAAAACCTCAAGTAATCGCCTCTAGCAGCAATAGCTGCTTAGTTCGCAACACATTGCTCCAAGAACTGTGGAATGCATCTAGTTAAGGTTGAATCTACTGTAATATTCAAATTCAATTCAGTATCAAAATTTATCGAAGTTGGAATTAAAAGTAAACTCACAAATTGAAGTACAGATTATCGATTAGAAGTTGCATACAGTATTGCACACACTTGGCAATAAACAGCACCGGCTGCAAGGCCTTTGTAACAATACCGTGAGATCAGAAATTAGAAAAATGTCATGAACCAACAGTTTATGTCATATAGAAGAATTCTTATGTGAGAGTATATGGCGGACTAAGAACATTTTCCTAAAAGCAAGAACAAACTCTACTAAATTGAATCGAAACTTTCGAATCGGTTTGAACTTAACATTCCACTATTACATCATTACCAATAAATATTTTGGGCCATTTAAGCCTTCATTGTTAACATATGCCTTATAGGCATGAATAACGCATATTTTTTTTTTATCAAAAACCTACTTTAACGTTGTATTCTGTACAATATATTTCACGACGCCTATATTAACAGTGTTTGTATGCTTTGCACTTATTAGAGTATTTATTATATCCAAAGATTCTTCAATGTACGAGTATTTTATTTGTGAATGTCTTCCTTTAATTCGACGGGTAAAACAGTCGCGCCCCCTCCTGGAAGAACCAATTTACGTAGCGTAGGAGTATTTAATTATGAGTATCATCAGAATGTAACGTGATTCGAATTCCCTTCTTACGCCAAGAGCCTTGCTCTCATCAAAGATTTTTCTATGAATATAATCTATAAAAATATACTTCTCTCGTGGAAGTGAAGATATTGGCTGTGGTAGTGGTTTGAATCTTTTGAATTTCATATGTTATGGTGCTTGAAAAAGATGGGTGGCATGATACACAGGAATACATTATGCTCCTTCAAAAACATTTCCCCCCTAATTTCTAAACATGCACAAAAAAAAAAAACTGAGACAAAAATAACTGCATGCAGATTATTAAACATATCTATTTTAGGGCCATAATTATAAAAACCAAAAACAAAAACAGAGGGCTGGGAAGTTATTTAAACAAAAACATAAATTAAATCAAGCAAACAATAAATTGCAAATGAAAGCCATTTAATTCAAACAAAAAAAGAGGTTACAGAGTATTAATGAGCCATCTAATGGCTTCAAAACTAAATAAAAACATGCAAAATGAAAACGAATCAATGGCAAAGTAAAAATAATCGCCCATAATTGAAACGAACATAAAAGGTGCAAATTTAATTTACCATTTATATGTTTCTTGGTCTACTTTCTAAAGTATCAAGAGAAGAGTATTAGGTTACTTATGATACGACAAGCACTAACAGACATAAAGGAAATCCAGCTACTATTGGATTATTTCCTACAACCGAAAATTTTCTAAATAAATTAAAATGAATAAATACTTATTTACTGTAAAACTAAGTGGCTGGTATCGGCCAGTTTGTTTGGCCTACGTTGACTAGAGTTTTATGGTTCTTCTTGGTGGTTCATCCTTATAACCAGAAAGAAGAAAGTGAACAACAAAGTAATACGACCTCATGGTTACATCTAAATTTTGAAAATAATTTTAGATTACGAAAAACGATGTTCTAATGCCAGAAAAAAGCAGTTTTTTTAACAATCCTATGAATGTCTTTACAAATAGTATGTCATTTTAAAATGCGTTGCGTTACAACTTTGTTTTTTCCAATAATATATAATTTTTGCGAATTACATCTCGGTTTTTTAAGGTTGGATTTCAGGAATTTCTGGCATAGAAAATTTTGACCAATAAATACAACAGATGACTAGGATTTCTGAATAGTCAACAGACGACTTGTAGCGATTACAGATATTCCAAACGAGTTTTTATACTGTCCTCTTTCTTTTCAAAATTAGAGGAGAGAGATTAAGAAGTTCCAACTATCCATCAAGATAACCTCTCCCTCACTTCACTCAGTTGAATCACTCGCGGCATTAAGGGTTAAAGGGCCTTATGCTTTACATTTGTTAGTCTTGAAGGATACTTGAAGTACCCTGTTACCGAGGGTATAGCCATTCAGGCTTTGAATGGCTACCAGAGCTTCGTCGTAGTTGGTCATGGTAACAAATCCAAAACCTTTGCACTTGTTGGTCTGCAGATCTCTGATCACCTTCACGCTTTGAACTGCACCGAAGGGGCCGAAAAGTTGCCACAAAAGATTTTCTTCTGTGTCTGGAGCTAGATTGTAGACAAACATACACCATCCGGATCCATTCACAGCATTACCTGCCAACAGAGGGTTGGCAGCCAGAAGGTCACCAGCAATAGGAGAGTACCTATAAAGAAACCATGGTGATACACTATCTCAATCCAGTTACATGAAATATGCAAATCTTACATTCAGAGGTCTAATCCACAACAGTCCTAAAGTGAAATTAATTTCAATAATGAAATTCATCATACACACATGAACTACTTCAGAACAACAATCCCGATAATCATATCACTTACTGATTAGGCTTCGAGTAGTATCATTTCCTGGTAATCTTATTTTGCATTAATAATATATTTTCCTCTCCTTGTAAAAAAAAAATACAGAAGGTTGAATATGTTATATTTAAACGATTTTCTACATGTAAATCAGCAACTCACGTGACAACCAGCTGATATAAAGTCGCGGTAGAAAGGAATGTATCAGACATTGTTTGGCGGAGCAGAGGTAGTGTGTGTGATGCTACCAAAAATCGATCGCCTTTGGAAAGAGTGTGTAACTACGTTTTCCGACGTAAAATATTCTTATACTCACACTATAAAGAGATGTTCGGATCAGGGATTTAGTTTTCAAAATGGGGATATCACATGTATGTAATGGAATTGGACAACAAAGGCATGTTATTTAATTTGGGACACCAGGACCACCCAGAAAGAGACTTGCAACAAGTTGTACCTTATCCATGGTAAGCAAAGTATGGCGTCATATAACAGATGGGAATCCACGAATACAAGGATCAGTGGCAAAAACAGTCCATATGCCAAAGGCAACAATACGTAACATAATAGAAAGGGACCTCAGTCTGGAAGCGAGGCCAACAGGGTATGTGCACATCAAGATAAGGCTTCCAGCCACACCGTCTGTCTAACCGTTGCATACCTCAAGCAGCTGGAGAATGAAACAGGTATTCGTGCTATTCCATACAAAGATTTACCTGATAAGTTGCCGGATGCAGCAACTATGGCTTTATGTGTGATCGGACTATTGAAACGGGTGATGGAAAACCGTTGTTCTCGTATACTAAATGGTTTAGAAAACGCATAAGGGAAGAATGGCGTGCTTTGAACATGACACTTTGGAATGGAGCCTTTTTCAACTGAAACTACACTGCAGGGCAATTACCAAGATGTGCCATCATTAAATAGAGCACGACCGGACGTGGCGATATGGACTGTAATCACTTGATGAAGCTCCAAAATCGTTTAACAAAACATAATCAACCTTTGTATTAGTGTTTCCTATAAATAATACTTTACTTTCCATGTAAACATCAATGCTACCCTTGCAAGTATGTGTTTTTCAATAACCATATTGATCTCGAACTTCCAGAAACATTTTATTTTATAGTCTAGTTTATTACTTTAATTAACAAATATCCTATCATGAATAACTTAGAATAAAGTAGTTTCAAAAAGTAAATAAACATTCTGGAAAACATACTACGAGGAATATACAAATAATTGCAATAAAAGCGAGTACAAAGCATGTCCACGTAAGTCATTAAGCATTTCGCCTTTGGTTCTCATAAATTACCAGTACTGCTTTGCTTTCTTTTTGTACTTTACGTTGCGGGTGCAATATATAAGCAACAGTCAATACCTTAGCGTTGATAATTGGTGGAAGGATACTGTAGCTGCCTTCCCTGTGGTCAGTATATTTCAAAATTAAGGAATGCGGGTTTACAGGTTTATATGTTTCTATGATCTGGAAAATGAGGGATCGAATTGGTAAAAAAAGTTGTAAAGTAACTTACGATATATTTCCTACAGTTATAATTTCATTTTCATGCCGAATAAACAGTTTCACGGAATTTTTAAGTAGCTTTACACTAGTAACTGGGTTACACATACTTAAACTTTAAACAAAATAATAATAATACACACTACTAACTTAATTTCACCCTGACATCTTTATTAATAACACTGTTAACTTCACCCCATCTAGCCATGTTTTTGAATAAACATGTTTACTTCATTCCACCTAACTTTGTGTATCAATAAGCCAATGCACGGGGCTATTTCTTTTGTTTTTATTTGACTTAATGAAATTATTTGAAACATTTGATTGAACGCAATAACGAATGCCAGTTTGCAAACATGTCACACTAAAAGATATGTAGATAAACGTAGGTTAAAGTGTGAAGAGTTTTATGCAGAGTAAAAATGTTGTGCATAATCCACGTATGCAATGATAAAACTCTGTAGGATTTAATCCTCGCTTGGCAACAACGTGTATGGAAGGCGTTATTCTTGATATAACTATTGCGCATGCAAATTGCCCAGGAAAATGACTGAAAAGGGTTTATTATTATTATTTCAACTTCACGTTATGACATGTTAAAAAAACAAGATATTTTTGTAGTAATTTAGCTGTATGATTTTCGTGTTCCCATGTTTTCTAAAGGTATTTCAATGTTAATTCAACTCAAAGGAATTTAGAATATAACACAGCCATAAATATTAGCATAAAATGCTTTGTAGCAAATGTGTTTGTTTGAAGTTAAGCTCAAAGATACACAATGGGCTATCTGTGCTATGCCCACCACGGGTATCAAAACTCGGTTTCTAGCGTTGAAAGTTCGCTGACATACCGCTGTGCCACTGGGGGGTTAGGAAATGTG